TCGTTGATAACTGCAGAAAGTCAGTGATGTTAATTTGGCAATTTTGGCATTTGAGTCACAAGTTATTAAAGAAATAAAATAAAACTAAAATATTAATATAATATATTAATATAAATATACATTTCAATTGTAATATAATATATTAATAAAAAATTTAAAATAAATCAGCCAACATAAAATAAAAATCTCTATCTTGAATCTTGTGAATATACTGTATATGTTGTCTGTCTAGCATTTAAAATTATATGAAAATACATTGCATATGCACCACAATCTAATTAAATTTAAAATCGAACCAAATTTAAACAAAATACTTTTTACTCAAAATACTGTGTGTAAGCCTGTGTTTTACTGCATGCGGTGTTTGAGAGAGAGAGAGAGAGAGAGAGAGAGAGAGAGAGAGAGAGGGTGTGTGCACACGGTATATGCACCACAATTTAATTAAATTTAAAATCGAACCAAATTTAACCAAAATACTTCTTACTCATAATGGTGTGAGAATGACCCCTGCATAGGATCGGGTGCGTCCCTTACACCAGTGTGTGTGAGCCTGTTTCTGCATGTGGTGTTTGAGTGTGTGTGCTGCGTGAATGTTCTAGTTATGCTTTTTCCTGCAGCTGTTATTGGCTCTAATGAGAAAGAGCAGATTAACACTTCAAACCTGACCCTGTGTCTATCTTTTTCTCTTTCTCACCATCTATAGAATTCTCTCTCTCTCTCTCTCTCTCTCTCTCTCTTTCTTTGTATCTATTGCTCTCTTCCTTTTTCTTTACTAACTGCCAAAAAATTAGCACTTATCAAGCAACAAATGGCTTTGGCAGGTGAATACATTTACCTGCCATTTAGCCAGCAAGTCTATTAGGCTAGATGGAAGTCGAACTGCAAGCATGACCTTCACGGATGTTACATAAGTGATTTAAATAAAAACATCTAGAAAAAGAAAACATCTTTTTAATTTGCAATTTGTGCACCTCCTAAAAATATTTATTTTTCAGAAGTTTATCTATGGCAACCTTATTTAAGTTTTTTGTTCTCCAAAACACAATGTGGCGACATAAAATAGAAAAGCTCGAACTGATATGCAAGGAAAAAACAATTAGATATTTCCAAAATTAATATTAAATATAAAATATTTACAATTAGCCTATATACTGTATTTCTATAATATGTATTTATAAAAACAATAAAATTCATGCAAAATATAAATTCATGATTGTTTCAAAACCTAGCAAGATGTCTACCTAGACAGCACTCATTGGACATCATAGTCTGTGATGCCTAAAATGCTGTCTATGTAAGCAGCTCAAAAGGTTTTTAAACTCATATTTGGCGTTATATATTACTTCAGCTAATTTGTTCTCAACACATTTGTCTCTCCCTTATGTTTACCCTTTCTTTCTTCCTTCTTTCATCTCATTCTGAATCTGTCCAGTGAGACGGTCTGATGATTAAGTTGTCAGATACAGATACAGATGTCATTTGTCATACCGTTTTATAAATTACACCAGCATGGTTTTTGTATTTACACACACATAATCCCATAAAATGGCTGAGTTATCTGATCTAAAGCTGATCTTAAGGACATCTTACCAATAACTGCTTCAAAATCACAGACTACATCAACATACACACATAGACATACAGATACACCTGGATGACCATGTGCTAACTTGTAAAGAAAAGATATACAAGCATTAGCATGACTCTCCTAGCCACCCACTACCCTGGCATTTCAGGAACATAAATGTCAAAATGCCTTGTAGAGCTGATAACGCAGCAGTACTCCGAATCTGTGTGCCTGTGTGTGTGCTATATGTTTTGTCTGGCAAATATTTTTAAAGTGGGATCTGGTGGAAATGAATATAAACCAGGGTTGTGCAAAATTCAGAATTGAATAATTAGAATCCTTTCAGAATTGAGTTGAGCTTGAACTGAATAGCCACTTAGCTGAATTGGAATTGGAATGACGGGAAGAAGAATGAAGGAAATTAAGTGTTCTTCCAATCAGATCCACAAAAGTTAATTTGTTAAGTAAGATTAAATATGCAAACTAAATATATGTTCATAAAAGTGAAATTTCAAAACATCAATCTATCTGTCGGTAAGGCCTACAAATCCACAAAATATTTTTTTCAAAACTTTAAAACAAGCCTTTGTCGAGCCAATATTCAAAATGTGTCTTGACAAGTTTTACTTTTCTAAGAGTTAAGGTCCGTTCACACCAAGCACGATAACTATAAAGATAACGATAAAGATATAGTTCTAAAAATCGTTCTCAATATTAAAGAATAGCATAGTTCACACCACAACTATAACGATAACGATACAGAGGAACGATATCGTTGGAATCACTTTCAAAACGATTTTTCTCCAGCTGATGAACGATAAAACACTGACAGCCAATCAGAATCTATCCTGCTGTAACGAGCTCAAGAATTTAAAGCGGCAGACGAGTGTGCGCTTAGAATAAACAGACGATATCGTTCGCTGGTGTGGACGCTAATATCGTTATCTTTATAGTTATCTTTATAGTTATCGTTCTTGGTGTGAACGGGGCTTTAGCCTATATGAATTTCAAATCATTTTAATTTTACTTCCATTTTGTTACCATTTAAATTTTTAAATAACAATTCTACATTCAATTTGCTACCTCAATTCAAATTATATTAAAATCTGAGCAGGCTCTGACAGAATCTGTACAATTTTTCAGAATTTTCCATGCTCATTTCAGGGGAAAATCTGCGGTACTGCAGTACTACACGTATTGGGAGCCGAAAGAATAATCAATAAGCCAAATATTTAATGAACAAACAAGCATGGATCAGGGGATGCGTAGGACTTTGTGATTGACAGGTGTTCTAGCTCTGCTGAAATCTGTTTATCAGTTAATGCCAGCAGCTCCTGACTCTCAGAATAATCCAATGGAAGTAAAGAAACTACAGGCCTGCGAGGAGCTCAAAATTTAGTTCTGTGTTTTCTCTTACAAACTACGACACTGAAATTAGGGTGGAGTTTGCCTCTGGGTCTGGGATGTAGATCATCTATTTTCTCAATCCCTTTTTCTTTTTTTCTCCTCTCTCTTTTCCAGAGCAATCCATTCTGCCTCGCATCTGGGTTGTGTTCAAGGGCATCGCAGCACGATGGTGCTTCACAGCCTTGTCTCCCTCCATGAGATCTGGCCTGGACTTCTTAACATCCCATGACACCACTACACCACCAAAACACAACTAATAGACACAGAAGCCACCACAATAAAGGGCATATTGAACTGATATTTACCACAAGGGTTTGAATCTAGATGATCTACTGTGTGACAGTGAGACCACACAATCCTGTAAGGAAAATAAAAAGTTGTGTGTCTGCAAGCACATCTGTGATGTTAACAGTTTGGCACTAAAGATAGATTTTGGCAGTGCATTCTTCTTTCACTGGTGTCCAGAATGTTTCTAAGCATGGCCAAACACTGTTTTGGAGTGAATAACATTCTCAAGGCTGTATTTAGTAAACAGAGCGTCCAAACGGTTCCAAAAGGGCTCAGAAAGTGCAATGAATCATGGTCCTGCACAGTGAGGTAACCCTGCATTCCAACCTTGTTCCACACTCATATTCCAGAATGCTGAGATAATGTTCTAATTATATGTTCTGGAAATTTTTAAGATCCCAAGGAAATCAAGACACAGGGTTCTTGAATGCGAGTTGAGCTGCAAGCAGTCCCAATCCTGTCCTGTATAGTGCACACTCCCCATATCCCTTCATCATTTCATTACAGGAGTGTTATTAAAATCCACTTAAAGGCACGCACAGCTTTGCTCAATGGAAAGTATGCAACAGGCCAACAGGCCCCTGAAAGTCTGACCCTCAACATCTGCTTTGAATCTGGTTAAAATATACACGGCCTGTTACAATTGGTCAATGTGCTTGCCTAATGCCTTGTATACCAGGGCAGATGGACAGCTTTCTCTTTTACCATATGTCTTATGCAGGAGGGCTGATTATTCACTTTCAATAACCTTTGCTCAGGTGCAGGAGACATGTTTGAGATAGCTTAGAGGCTTCCCTCTCATGTCAAGCAACACCTTGTCAGTAAACAACAAAATATACTCAACACTATGATCTGTAGCCTAGAAAATTGGTGTTGTCATAATGTCAGTATGGCAAATATATGGGTCACATGGCATGGAACCTGTGCAAACCCTGTTGAAAAAAAATAGTTTAAACCAGCCTGGCTTACTGGTCTTGGCTGGTTTAAGTTAGTCTCCCAGCCTGGGCAAGATAGTGTTTAGCTGGTTTAGCTGGGTCAGCAGCTGGAAAGTGTCCAAAACCTCCCTAAACCAGCCTGACCAGGACTAAACAAGACCAGCTAGCCAGCTCAGTCTGCTCTAAGACGCTTTTTTTTTTTGACAGGGAATATGAGATCAGCAACACACATTCATGCATCATCTACAGAAACAAAACAAAAAAAGTGTCAAAAGCTGTAGTCAAAAGCAAAAAAAAAAAGACTCTTTAAACATTCATGAAGATTTCACGAAGCAGTAAAGCAATAAATAAACAGCAAAACATTTGCCAAACAGAATATCATAATCATTATCATTCACACTGACTCTCAGTAATCAGGCTTTGAGGCTGAAATATAAAGAGAGAGAACTGTGAAGTGAAATATAGATAAAAAGATGGAGAAAAAGAGAAGATGAGAAGTAGATGTGAGGAGTTTCTTTTTGATGACATCCTCCATCGGCTGCTCTTTGCACACAATGCCTCTGATATCACGGTGACATCACAATGATGTCACACAGCAAAATACTTAGCATCAAGCATGCCGCTCCATCAGGCACATACAAAACATATTACATGCATTACATTCCTGTTCTGACAGGGCACTATACTAACACAAATGAAATTCAGTTTCTTCTTAACAGTAATATTTTAGGAGTGACCCGTCAGGACAGGAACCCAAATCCAATAAAAACACATTTTAGTGTAAATATAAGACTATTACTTACAAGATCTCATCGTTTTGGAACTCCAGAACACCGTGGGTGTCTTCAAAGTCCTCTCCCCCTCCATGTGCAGTTCCCTCAATGGTTTTATATGGCAGTGACACCACCCCACGGGCCCCAGACGTACGCAGGACCTTCACTTCCATGACACCCACACTCTCACTAACGTGGGTGACTGGCTCTTCAAATGTGAAGATTCCAGCATGGTCATCGTCAAAGATGGTGACTGTTGCTGTGGAGGGCACACCGAGCGTAGCGATGGTTTCCATGTGATTGGCTTCAGTGGTCTCTGCCTCATCACCCTCATGAAGCACACGGACATTGCTGAGGTGGATGAGGAAGTTCTCGTCCTCTTCAAAGATGTCATCGTCAATAATTCCAACTCGGATCTCCTTTTGCGTCTCGCCTGGCTTGAAAACGATACTGCCTTCTGTGAATTCATAATCTGAGCCGGCATTTGCGGTTCCATCTTCTGTGCGGAATTCCACCGACACAGTCTGGTTGATATCGCCTCCACGTCGAATTACGTTCACCGCCACGGTTCCACAGTTTTCCAGGCACTGGTAAGAGCCAGGGTCAAAAAAGATCTTAGAAATCGGGTCATTCTCTCCAGTGTCACTGCGCACCTCATGCATGCTCACTGCTTTGCGAGCTTGGTCCGCCGCATGCTTCTTCAGAATGTTACCTGCTCCAGTCATTAAGCGGGTCGCTTGGCATCGGTAGAATGCACGGCTCTTCTGCTGCTGGCTGAGCACCTGGTAATTAGCGAGTTCAATCAACTGCTCCACCTCTTTATCGGGATGTTTCTGCTTCAGTTCCTTCAGAATCTTCGCCATTTCACGTCTAGCTTCATCCTCATCAAGGTCTTTGTCCTCCAGTTCCAAAGCTAGAGTTCCATCCAAGAAGTCCACTGCATGAGAGTTGAGCATCTTCCCGTCCATCTCGATATCCACCTTGGATGGCAGAGGACGGTCCCCCTCCGTTTCGATGATCATGCCACGGTGCTTGCCGGCTCGGTAGCGCTTGTAAACATACTTGTAAAACAGGAGGCGGCGGTCAGCGATCCAAGCAAAGACCACGCAAATAGGAAAGAAGAAAAGAGTGAGAAGACCCTCCCACACCTGGACGATGCCTGGTGAGATAACAGCCAAGATCAGGTAGAGCCACAAGTAGGCGAAGATGCTCCAAGTGGCGGTGACAAAGAAAACACGCAGGTGTTTCACTTTACGATGCTCTCCGTCGGGCACCACGTAGACACAGATTCCAATAATGACGAACATGTTGAAAGCTGCACTGCCGACAATGGTAGCGGGTCCAAGGTCACCAGCTTCAAAATTATGGCCGCACACTTCAATGACCGAGAGCAGAATCTCAGGAGCTGAAGACCCCAGAGCCATGAGGGTGAGGTTGGACACAGTTTCATTCCAGACGCGTACAGTTGTAGTGGTCGTTTCACCATTGGGTTTCTTAATGGTGATCTCCTTCTCCTGAGAGGTGATGACCTCAATGGATGCCATGAAGCGGTCAGCAATAATCGAAACTCCCAGAAACATGTATACCATTGCCACGAAGTAAACCGTGGCTCGGGCTACCTTGTCTCCAAACGAAGGGTTTGGGGGCTCCCACATCGGAAGGATGACTCCTGGGGCACATGTAACTGACCCACCACAGCTCAAAGACTTGTTGGAAGGAGAACTATGATCCTGGCTGTGGTCTGAAGCATGTTCCGCTGTCACATGGTGGACGTTGTAGAGCAGTATCACCATGATGACTAGACACTGAAAGCTCAGGAAGAGGCGTGGGGAGGTGTCACGATGCCTCATCGTTCCTTACTCGGCGACAAACTTCTGCTATAATAGAAAGAGAAAAGGGGGATGAAGAGAAAAATAGATCAAGCAACTATTGAAATGAAACCAGGACACTGATCACCAACAAGCACCGACACACGTGTTCTCAAAAACTGTTGCATTATTACGGCATGTCTGAAACTGATTCAAGGCTGACATTTTTGGAACATTTCATCAGCATTTGCTGAAAGGCACGTTCCCAAAATGTCAGGTAAAAAAAAACTCATTCTGGAGCATTTGTACATGATTATCTATTTGTCAAATTTGTTTATCAATTCAATCATCAGGTTCATTTCAACAGAATGCATAAACAAGTCCAGATGCTCCCTTAAGCCTAGTGCTCAAGGACATTACATTCTGCTAGTTGTTTCTCGCTATTAGTCCAGAGCAGTTGGTTCCAAAAAATAATGCAATGAAGTTCAGGTTGGGACGCTGCATGGTGCTTGATTGCAAGTAAGCAGACCTAACTTAAAACAATGCCTGCAAAATGCATCATCATACAAAGGGTGGCAATCGGCCCCTGAGGCAAGAAGAAGAAACGCATATCATGGTGCAAAACGCATGCATGGACACAAACCCACAGTGTCACACACACTCATATCTGCAGTCATCAATGGGCATAGTGCACAGCAAAAGCTTGCATACATTACTCCCACATTCATATGAAACTAAAACCACTAAGCTTTGAATATGCCTACATAATTATGTAATCATACGGATTTCGGTAGCTTTAACGATCGTTTAACCTCGGTCGGTTTAGCGATCTGAAATGCAAAAGAACCGAATACAGAGCGCTTTAATTCAGCACTGCTCAAATCTCGCTCACTCTCACTCTCATTCACATCTACCGCAACCTACTGCTCTCATTCAGCACCTCTACCCCATCCACTGATGAAACATCTGTTATCCCACAACGTACGCGATGCGACACGCATAATTTCTTATTTGGGTGCTCTTACTGTTCGGATAAACGTTGGCTGTACGGTTGCCTTAAGGGCTTTCTTCGTGATGTGCTCACAGAGCGCGGGGGTTCTTGCAACCAGATCGTGTTTAATACAACTTTCACGTGCACATCAGAATCCCGTAAAACGAAGTGACGGCGAACGGCCGGTTAAATCTTCATCCGCGGGCCACTGCGGACCGGACCG